GTCACATAACGCATATGCTTTCTGGATATCCTCATTATTTGTGCAACTATCCAAATGCAGATGTATATGTGTCATTATTTTGTCTGGCCCCCCAGTGGTACAGCGGTATGTCTGCGGACTTACAACGCTAGAATCCGGGTTTCGATACCCGTGGTGAGCAGAGCATGTATAGCCCATTGTGTAGCTTGGTGCTTACTTAAAAACAAACAAACCTTTTGTCTGTTGTGTTATGGTTATTGTTACAGTTTCTCTCTTCAACTTAGCTAGTCAGCTGCAAGGTTACATGCATGATAAATTTATAGTTAAAGCAGGTTACAAACAATTCTACATATTTTGTTTTCAGATTACAATTGTAATGTGACAGAATGAAAATAAACTGGAAACTTTACCTAATTTGTCAAAGACAAACTTCCGAGTCACTAAGACGGCCATTAGACAACAAATGAAAAAAGACAGATCCAAGGATTACCATTCTCTTCTAAGTAATCCTTCAGAGTGCAGAGACCATGATTTCTTGTTGATCAGTGTAGAATCAGTAAAAGGTGAAAGTATATAAAACTTATGTCTTATCGTGCCTCTTGGTGCAAGTTATACCATGCGAAATTCGAGAATCCAAAGTTGGAAAGAGACAAAACAAAGCGAAAACTGAATGTGATCCTAATAGAAATAAAGAACCTGAAGAAAAGACTCAGAGTAAGTAACAGAAGACAATTACCTAATACGTATCTGTTTGAAAGAAAAAAAGATAATTGTATCAACCAATTTCAATTTTTTTATCCAGACAAGATTGTTTTGTCTATAAGAAAAGAATTGAAGACACCAATCTTTTGGCCTGAAATGGGGGGTAATTTGATTATAATCGAGGCTACGTACCACCTACAACGCTTTGTACAGCTCAGATCTGATACGACACTCATCAGTAGATTATGGTATGTTCTTTATCAAATTGTAAGACCTGTATACGCTTTATGTAAATCGTCTGCAACATCTTGGCATTAAGAAGATCATCAATAAGACCAGTCGGAAACAAAATTTGCTTGGACACTTACCATAGGGCAAAAAGCACTATGATGTGAGAAGCACATTCAAAGATGGGACAAGAAAAATGTTAACAATGTGTATTAAAGAAACAAGATTTTTATATATGTTAAGATTCTGGCTAAAGCTGCTAAAATCATCCGAGCAGAAATCTTTAACCAAGGTTCATTGACTGCTTCCCACCAGAATGTCAGGAAGACTTTATAACCAGCCTCTATGCCCCTACTAGGGAGACTGTTCCATCTGCAACTGTGGCAAAGCTGACTTAGCATCCACCTTTCTTTTGCAGGCTCAAGAATGTTAAGTAATTACAGAAGATAGTTGGGTGATTATTAGGTGACTGTATTAGGTGGAATGTTTAATCAACACTGAGAGCCTATTTACAAGACATTAGTACTAATCCATCACTAATTTAAAAATATTATATTTATTTTGATCTAAAATTATCCATCCATCATCATAAGTAATATTTGTAAAGAAATATGAACTTGAAATAAATTCTCATGTTAAGTAAAATACGTAATATTGGTATTTTTAGTGAGATGAAAATTTAAACCAAAAGAAGATATCCAGACTGCCGCAAATAAGAAAAAACAACAACAACAATACAATGGACCTTTTGATTCCGCCTATGGATTACGATAGGTGTCTACTTCCCTGAAATTGATTATATGGATCCCAGAAACATTTTAGTCGTTTTATCAACCTGCAACATTAATTTCGCTAAACCACGTGACTAATATTTATTTATCATTAAACACTGTAGCAGAAAAGGTGATGAAACAAATTGGTAGCCATAAAAATCCCCCGTATAAAAAAAACTCTGAAAATCTCTGAAAATTAACAATGACTATTTCACAGTATTGGCTGAGCAAAACCAAAGTTTATTGTACTTATAAAGCCGCCATCGCTATATACGTGCT